ATTTATAACATGAAATTTAAGGCAAACTGTGACTCTAGATGGGTCGGGATATTTATATATATTTAACCCGGGTTAACTGTTCTGTAAAGCAGATAATTTTCCATCATTTGTAAGTCCATACGCCCACAAGAATATTGTGCTTTACAGAAATACGCAAACCCGATACAAAATGTGTCCGATCGGGCCTTTGTCCGATCGAGCCTGTGTCCGATCGGTTATGTGCGCAATCGGGACAATCCCAATGCAGTGTCCAATCTTGCAATGCTTGTGTTCAATAATGCGGTGTACAAAAATGCGGTGTCCAATAATGCGGTGTCCAATAATGCGGTGTCCGAAAATGCAGTGTCAAATCTTGCAATGCTTGTGTCCAATAATGCGGTGTGCAAAAATGCGGTGTCCAATAATGCGGTGTCCAATAATGCTTGTGTCCGATAATGCGGTGTCCAATAATGCGGTGTCCAATAATGTGGTGTCCAATAATGCGGTGTCCAATAATGCTTGTGTCCGATAATGCGGTGTCCAATAATGTTTGTGTCCAATAATGCGGTGTCCAATGATTTCGGTGTCCAATAATGCGTGTCCAATAGTGCGTGTCCAATCGAGCGGTGTCCAATCGTTACGTGTCCAATAGAAGGTCACCCCAAAAGTGGTACCGTTGTCGGAGTACACACAAACGGGTTGCCTTTTAGGGAGATAAATCGCCGCAATGCTGCAATAAAGTTTCCGGAAGTTAAGTCGCTCACTAACTCGATGGAAACGCTCTTTGTTGCGAAACATACAAATATAGCAATATACGCCTTGTGATTGCGCGCGTTGCGTCGTTTACCCTCCCTCAAGATTAACGGACCGGCGTAATCTACACCACAGTGTGAGAATGGCCTTGTGACAGTGACGCGACTAGAGGGTAAGGAGCCCATTACAGCCTCCGACTGTTTCAGCTTGGTCTTGAAACAAGTCACGCAGTTTCGTATAATGTTACGCGCAGTGGAACGAAGGGACAAAGGCCAAAACCGTTGCCTGACCGCGGCCATTGTAGCATGCATTCCTGCATGTAAACTACGCACGTGTTCCTGTCTTATTATTCGCTTCGTTAACTCGTGGTCGCGCGAAAGTAATATGAAGTGGTGAGCGTCGAAATGTAGCTCAGAATTTTTTAATCTTCCTCCCACACGTATCAGTCCGCTTTCGTTCATAAAGGGAGACAGGGAGAGTAGGTTGCTCGACTGGTTAATCGGACTGCCTTTGCTCAATTGGTTATACTCTGTTGTGAAGACGTCTCTTTGTACTATTTTGCAGGCGACCTCGAGTGCGTGCGATATTTCGTTGTGTGAGACGAACTCTGTCGGCGTGGCCGTCCGGTGCGTCTTGCGGAATCGAAAGTAGTATGCTGTGATGCGACATATCTTATTCACGCTGGAATGCTTTCTTAATGAGTCGTCGACAATTGTCTGCTCGGGTACTGCAGCGACCGCTACCGCCTTTGGCCCTTTAGTCACCTCGCCCCCAAGGAAGTCCCCACTTGGCCACCGGCCCTCGTCGACTTGTTAAAATGTGGGACCGTGCCACCATGATTCCGCGTCCACCAATTCGTGCGGGTAAAGTCCCCGTGACAGCATGTTAGCAGGATTGTCCACTGAAGCGATGTGTCGCCAATTCCCAATTTCGGTCAAGCGCTGGATTTCTCCAATCCTGTTGGCCACAAAAATCTCCCACCTCCGGGACGGTGAGCTTATCCAATTCAGCGTTACCGTTGAGTCCGACCACAGGAAGACCTCCATGTTTGATATGTCGAATGACGCGCGGACGTTATCTAGTAACTGGGATAGTAGTAACGCCGCGGAGAGCTCCAATCTCGGCAATGATATTGCCTTGAGTGGTGCGACGCGAGATTTTGAACACAATAGTTCCGCGCGATACTGATTCTCGTCGAGCCTTGTTCGGACGTATATGCAAGCTCCGTAGGCTTGCTGGCTGGCATCGCAAAACCCGTGTACCTGCACTCCTTGCGGGTCCGCGGTGAATTTCACGCATCGTGAGACTTGCACGTGTTTTAGTTCTACTAGCTGCTGTTCGAACCTTAACCATCGTGTGTGAATGTCCTGCGGAACGGCCTCGTCCCAATGGCTGCCAGCTTGCCATAGTTCTTGTACGATGAACTTTGCGGTAACAATAACGGGACCGAGGAGTCCAAGGGGATCGAACAGTCTTGCGACGCCGGAAAGTATCGTGCGCTTCGACAAGCTGTCACGTTTGTTTTGGACCTCGTGTGAAATCTGGAACGTGTCCCCGAATTGGTTCCATATCATACCTAAGATGCGATAGGTTACGTCGTCGCTGATTTCGACCGAGTCCTTGCTTCGACTCGTGACGTCTTCGATTAACTCCTGGCAATTTGAAGCCCACTTGCTGAGCTCCAATGATCCCATCTGTAGTATTTTGATTATTTCTTCTCGAATTAATTTCGCATTCTCGGGAGTATCCGCTCCGGTCAGCAGATCGTCCACGTAGAAATCTTGCATGATGTGCTTCGCTCCTATTGGGTGTTTGACCTCGCATTGTTCGGCCAAATGCTTGAGACATCGCGTCGCCAAATACGAAGCAGAGGCGGTGCCGTAGGTGACCGTAAGTAGCTCGTATGTCTTGATATTGGAATCTGTTTCGTTTCGCCATAGGATCCTTTGAAGAGGCGTTTGCAATGTGTTGACCAGAATTTGCCAATACATCTTGATTATGTCGGCTGTGAAGACATACCGATACGAAAACGCAGCAGGATGGACATTAAGTCCTGCTGCACGGCGGGTCCCACCATAAGCGCGTCGTTCAGCGAAAATCCCGTGCTCGTTTTACAGGACGCGTCAAAGACCACTCGTAGTTTGGACGATGGTCCCGCCGCCTTGAATACACAGTGATGTGGTAAGTAACAGGATGGCCCTTCATTGGAATGTGGGAAAGCTAGCTTCATGTGCCCGAGCGTCGCATACTCCTGGATGAAATGCTCGTAACGACGCCTCAAGGTCGACTCACGCTTGAAGCGCTTCTCAAGCGCCTGCAGTCGTTTTCGCGCGATGTTTTCAGAGTCTCCGAGCTTAGCGATTGCCGATTCCTTGATCGATAGCTTTACCATGTATCTGCCGCTGGGAGTCTGGGATACGTTTTCTAAGAAATGCCTTTCGCATAGAGATTCCTCGATGGTATAACTGGTCGACCGGCCGCCGATGTCCTCCTGTCGCCAAAACTTGCTTAGCTGTTCGTGTAACTTCACGTTGGTTACTGTTGCATGAAAGGATCGAATTCTTTGCGACGACGTTGTGGGGTTGCCCAATCGACCGGCTAGTATCCACCCCAGCCGCGTTTTCTGCAATGTCGAGCGGTACTGCGATGCCTTGACCTGACCTACACATATCAGGTCCCAGAATAAGTCCGCACCAATTAGAGCGTCGACGTCGGCAGAGATATTAAATTGAGGATCGGCGAGTCGCAAATTACGCGGTAGATTAAAATCTGATCGTTTGATCGTAAATGACGGAAGCTTGTCGGTGACCTGATCAGTCACGATGCATTCGACGTCGAAAGAGAATGCATTTAGACGCGATTGCATTCTTAGGCGAACGGTTTGCGTGGCCCTAGAGGTCGCACAGTTTATGCCCGAAATGGATATATTCAGGGAACGAAGTTTCAGCTTGAGAGCATGCAAGAACTTCCTTGACACGAAGTTCGCCTGTGAGCCACAGTCCAACAATACTCGACACGGCGTCGAGAGCATGGCGTACCTGCCATCGCCCGGGCACGACAGATGTGTAACTAACGCGGCTGGTGACGCAGGCGACGCTTGTTTTTCAGGCGCTTCTTGAACGGATGTAATCGCCTCGGTGGGGGTGGTCACATGCAGCAACGTATTATGCTTACTTTTGCAGATTCTGCAGGCTCCCGATGAGTATTTGTTAGCGGCGTGCGACGCGGAGCGCAAGCAATTAAGGCAAATTTTTAATTTCCGGATCTCGGCTTGTCTACTAGACACTGGGAGATTCAGCAACTCTTTGCACTGATATATGAAATGATCGCCCTTGCAGTAACTCCATTTAAATTTGAGTGTCGCGACGCGCGCTTGTCGTTTTTCCTTACCACCAGCACGTGCACTGGTGTTCTTTGTGGAGGTGGCATTGACGTTACTGGTAACCTCGATTACTTGGCATCGATGAGAAATGAAGTCGGTTAGTTGCTTGAGAGTCAGAATTTCGGACCCCGTCAAAGACGTCTGCCACGTGCTCTCGCAACGTGAGCGTATCCATTTTTGAACCCAATACGTATACGAGTAGGTCGTCCCAGTGCGCGGTCGGACGATTCAATGCCCGAAGGGCGTGTACATGTTTAGACGCGCCGTCCGCGATTTGACGTAATTCGCTGACATTTTCCTTGCGCATGGTCGGTAGTTCCATGATCGCCTTGATGTGCACATGACACGTTTATTGTCGTAACGCTCCTTCAACATAGCCCACGCGATTTCATAATTGCGATCCGATATCTCTAGGGAACTGACAATGTCGCTCGCCTCGCCGGTGAGCGAGGAACGCAGGTACTGTAATCTCTGAACGTTGTTCAACGACTCGTTGGACTGTATAATGGAATTGAAGGCGTCGAAGAACGGGAACCAATCATCGTATTTTCCACCAAAGTTCGGAAGACTCAACTTGGGGAGTCGCACGTGCGTCGTGGATTCTCGGAATCCCGAAGAGTCCGAAGTCGTCGGGGACGGCGCTGCGTGGTTGCACGTCTCATTGCGCGGCAGATCTAAGAGTTTCCGAATTCGGGCCGATAAGCTAAAGAAAGCCTCTTCAAAATGGGAGCGATCATTGCTCTCTGCTTCGTCAATGACCTCTAATCTCGATTGTATCGCGTTATACTCGGACCAATATTATTCCAGTTTTGCACGGTGTACAAGAACTCTTGATAGTTGCGCGCTGCCTTCGCAGGACAATCGGATTCTCCTCGGAAGACATTTGAACAACGGCGGCGCGAGCTCGTGGCGAGCGGGCAGCGACGGAACGTTAGACACACGTGACCGCTAACAACGCCTGAAAGGGCTCGAAATTGGCGCGGCCACGATAACCTAACCTAACCTAACCTAACCTAACCTTACAGTTATTTCGTTTTCCTAATACGATTCGACAGGAACGGCAAGCGGCGATCGGCTTGTACCTCCCGGCACGACTGGGCAGGGAAGGCCAGCGACGATCGGGTCGTACCTCCTGGCACGACTGGGGCAGGAACTGCAAGCGGCGATCGGCCTCCCGGCACGACTGGGGCAGGAACGGCAAGCGACGATCGGCTTGTAGGTTAGAGTCGGCGTATGCGTGCCGACCCTCTTTTGTTCCAAAATGATAGGCTTTCGTCTTCTAGCGCTAATGAATCCGGACGCCTACGTGATATCCGGCTCGAAGGACCATGTTCCGTGGCCTCCACGCGGTGATCTGTGGCCTTTCTTCCCCTGGATCGGGCGTGGTCGAGAAAACGTACACCTTCTCTGATTTCACTTTCTTTATTGCTTCTTACAATGTTGCAGCCTAGTATAACGGTTAGCCTCCTTCGTCGTGTGACGACGTGTGTCGTCGCTCGCCTCTCTAAATTATATTAATTCTTCTTGCGGTACGTACGTACTCATCGTAGCCGCTGCTCACACGATCGGGAGGGGGACAATTCGCACGAATCGGCGTAGGCGAATGGGCGAATGGGCGAATGGGCGAATGGGCGAATGCCGCGCGTGGAATCGCGCGGTGATACGAATGTAGTACGAAAGGCGCTGAGGTATTATACAAGTGTTATCCATCAACCACGATTCCTACAGCAATGGTTCGCAATCACGTAACGCAATCTCCGCGCTCAGCGCTGGGCGGTTCCAGCGGTCTTCCGCGCGATTGTCTGTTTCGCGGCGGTCGCGCTAATCGTGCACACGTAGCGTTGTCAAGGTCACGAGAACATCACCTTAAATTTCTTAAATGGAATCTTTATTGTTTATTATACTATCTAATTCTACTAATTAATATGAACAACTTTGTCTGACATTTTTTATTTGCCTAATACTTGAGATATTCAAGAGAAAACTGATAACTTTTTCAATGTTTAGCTTATGTTATCTCGATAACTGTTTGTTGGAGGGAAAAGTAGTACGGGACTTTTTTACTTGATTTGGTTTCAGGAACATGCTGTTGCAGTAGTGCTCCAATTATTGAAAATTTTGATGTATTGTAACATACACAAAATTTACATACACAAAAATTTTTGTGTATTGTAACGTACACAAAATTTATATATTGTAAAATATACAAAATTTACATATTAATATTTTTATATTAATTAGTAGAATTAGATAATATAATAAACAATAGGGGGTTTCATTTTAAAAATTTAAGATGACCTTCACGTGACCTTGACAACGCTGTTCAAGATCATACTGATATTGCTATGTAATGCATTACTTGAAACCCTACAAGTTTTATCTAAAGTTTTCTTCTGGAAGTTATACATTTTGAGATATTTGAGTGGATTGATTAACATACGCCACCTTGTATATACAATTATCAGAAGTACCTCAAGAATCAGCCTGTCCAATTATCGAGGTTATGCAACATTGAGTGATGGTGAAATCTTGGATGGATAACGATGGCTATTTGCAACACAGTCGCGAAAGAAAGAAATATTCAAATGAACATTGTAATGATGTTATATTAATGTTGATACTAACTGTATTTTTAAATTGATTTTATTTTTTAGAAAAAAAATTTTTATCACAATGTTAAAAATGTAAATATGCAATATTGAGATAGGAAATGTTACTTTAATATTGCTGAAACTTCCAAATTAGTGTCACAGTATGTTTATGATAACACTGCCTACAATGTTAAAAACTACATAGTTGAAAACGTTACGACGTTAGTGAATAGCATTATAAAAACGTTGTAACAATGATGTCTTGCTTACTGGGAGGTCGAACCACTAATATACAATTTTCCCAATTTTGTAATTTAGATACTAACAATTTACTTTATGCATAGAAGATTATAAATTTAATTATTTTTCTTTACTTGTTCTCTTTTATAGAAAGACATACATACCTCCAAAAATAGGTTTAGCAATCTCAAAAGCGTAACGTGCCTTAAAACCACTATAGACAAGCTCAGAATCAGAATGTAAGATTATTTTTAAGCCAAGAGCACCGAGATTTGATTCTACTGGTCCTGGCGCGGTTACACCGCAATATCTCCCTATCAATTTCTCCGTATCATCCCGGTACATGTTATAAATTTCCAGCCAATCATCCTGGCAGAGTTCATATCTGATAAATAACAAACATATCAATTTTGATCAATATGTAACGTTACAAAGTATAGTTATAACTTACTCACCCATAATGTCCAACTGTCACATTATCATTTCTTGTGCGAACTTTAAAATGATCGAAGATCAGAGCAACTTGCTCATTTGGCGTCGCCAAGAAGAAATATGTGCAATTTGTATCGCTCGGATAATTGCTAGGATATCGTGGTGAATTGAATTCGCCGCGTTTACGAGAAGAGCTACGATAAGTAAAGGTGCAGCTGCCGTCAGGTGCTGCGGTACCTGGTATCTTGTATTCCGTTTCAAAAATGTACCTATCAACAATATAGCAACAAATATATTGTATATCATGTTATCATTTGTGTTACGAATGTCATATTTGTAAATAAATAAACATTATATTAGTAAAAATCATGGTTGCAATTTTTTAAATATTTTTAATCAAATCTACTTATATAGTGTAACATAATCATTATGCGCGATTCCGGCTGCCTTATGAATTAAGTTCGCAGGCGACGGACAGACGGTAGCGCAACGTGAATAGATTTGTTTCGCCGGACCGAGCTCCGACTGGTGCCCCGAAAACGTAAAGGACGAGTGTAACGGGCAGAATTGCGAAGTATTCAAACCACAATAACTTTATTCACATTAATACATTAAAGATCAGCGCTATCAACGTTCGCGATCAAACTCGCTGATGCACGAATAGGGCGAGCTAAGCACAATGTATGAGTGATCCGAGATTGAGCTGCGCTCGATTCGTGGCCACACACGGACTTGCGAGAGGCAGTCAACACGGGACTATTAGGCTCGTATTAGAATGAACGATATCACGATCGCGTTGCGAATCGGTATTTCGCAGTAACTGAATTCGGAGTGTGCTGCACTACTTTGATTTGAACAAATTATGAGAGTATAAACTATGCTATCGCATTGCCGTCTCAAAAGCAACTGACTCCGTTTCGAATCTCTTACTTTGTCGTCGCTCACATACGAACCCCAATGTCGAGGGTAAATTAGTTTTTATTGCGAGCTGCGCGTCACCTAGCTGGTGTTGCCATCGGTCTGTATTGCTTTGTTCGTTGAGCTGCTCGCCACGACAAATCTTGCACAATCATTAAATATATAACTTACTATTCCAATCAATTTTAAATTTAATCTTAACAAAATATGAATTTTATAGAAAAATATTTCAAATGGAAGTTATTTGGCTTTGAAGAGAATATTTTGTGGGCGACAGTTTTTCCCCAAATAATAGCACTTTCAAAGATTTTAATATTACTTTTTGTTTTTATGGAACTATACATACCAATATGTATATATTGTCGTGCCTCGAGACTCAGTTAGGGCACGGGATTTGTTCGGCATCGTTGTCGGGTTCAGCACCACACTTCAATTCGAAGAACCAACAGCCGATGTATGACATGCACTCTTTATTCCCAAAAAACCAATAGTCGATATAAACTTTATTCTAAACTAATTTCCTTTATTTGACCAACTGGCAACTTTTATTAGTAATAAGCACTACGTTTCGACTGCGATTCCAGTCCTTCTCAAGTGCATTAAATTAATATATTATATATAAGTGCGCGCTTACAACATTTGGAAGTTCTCGCATTGTGCCAACAATGAGTCAATTTTCAACTAAAACGCAAAGTGTCACATGTATAAAACCTTGTATAGAGTGAATTCAGGCCAATAACATTAAAATTATGTGTCAAATACTGAGTTCAAAAAGGTAGCTTAATAAATATGTGTAACAATTGAAGTGTCAAAAACGTTAAAAACAAAATTATATGTAACACTTACATGTTTCGCGCCGTTGTTAAATTGGAGATATAAACACTTCAATTGTTACACATATTTATTAAGCTACCTTTTTGAACTCAGTACCCAGATAGCATTTTGACATCCAATGTATATACATTGCATATACATCAGTGTATATGACATATCTTATGAACATGCAGTGATACATCAACGACATACTACATTGAATATCGTAGGTATGTGCAAATGCAACGCGCTGTACATGCAATGTATATCCATGCAATATACATGTGTATATTTGCCGAACATTCTATGTACATGTGTATGTGAATATACAGACAAGTATACTCGTATATATGTATATATTTATAATAATTTATAGTTCAACTGATTGACTGTTAGGTACTTACTAATCCAGTATTGAATCAGTACCGTATTTCCACAATCATTACGATAAAAACCAGTAATGGTTTTGGTACAAGATTTTATTGAAAAAAAATAAAAAGTTTCAACTAGTTTTTTAAATAATTTTTTATAATTTAATATATATTCATAATTTTACACATACACACACTCTATCTCCTTAATTCTAATTAAGAAAAATCCATACTATGTTACAATTTTTGGAAACGCTTTGTGGGATTCGAACCTAAGATTTCGGATTACTAGCCTAGTACGCTAACGCTGAGCTAACTATTTATACATGTTTATATCTACCCTACTGTTAGGCTACATATTATTTACATATTATTTTAATGCTGGTGGTCAACAGTAATGGTTATGGAATTGCACATCACTCAATAATAAAATTGTTCAGTAATCATGTTTTCTTTAATATACTCACATATACATGTACATAGAATGTTCGGCAAATATACACATGTATATTGCATGGATGTACATTGCATGTACAGTCAGGAGCACTGAGGTTGCGACACTTTTTTTTTATGAGTTTACGAACGCGCAAAAAAAATTCAGGATGCGAATCCCTGTCCGCGCTCATGCGCGGTGAGTGATCATGGTGCTGTCAAATTTGTGTATACAATGTGTAACATAAATTTATATGCGGCGGCAAATCCATAATAAATAACATGATTATTCAGTTGATTCGTGTTAACTCGCTGTCGGATCAGATCTTTCGCCGCTTGTCTCTTGGTTATACTAATGAATAATGTGGGATGATTTCTAAATACAAAATAAAATAAATATAATAAATATAATTTATAATTAAATAAATAAATTTAAATTAATTTAAATAAATTAAGTAAATAAATAAATTTAAATAAAATAAATAAAGAAAGAAATGACATTAATTTAATAAATATATGTATAAAATGACCCTAATACCTTGTCTTCACTAATATTTTTTTAAATTTGTGAATCAAATATCCGACGGCGATTTAGTAGAAAATTTGTTGATTAAAAATCTTTCATACATAGTTATATGTAAATAGCTGTATGCAGGGGGATTACGCCAAATTGTGTATGAGATGTATCCATACCATAACTGTATTGTATGATTCTATGCAATTATATCTATATATAAAAAATACTTAAGAGAGATCGGAGAAAACTAACAATTCTTGTATAGCTTGCACTAGCTTCTCGGCCAATACAAAATACTTAAACCATTAGGTATTTTCGGATCATTCAATTGATCCGTGTCAACTTGCTGTCGGATCAGATCTTTCGCCGGCTTGCCACTTGCTTGCTCGTCGAAAAGTTTTTAAATTAATAAATTTTCTACTAAATCGCCGTCGGATATTTGATTCACAAATTTAAAAAAATATTAGTGAAGACAAGGTATTAGGGTCATTTTATACATATATTTATTAAATTAATGTCATTTCTTTCTTTCTTTATTTTATTTAAATTTATTTATTTACTTAATTTATTTAAATTAATTTAAATTTATTTATTTAATTATAAATTATATTTATTATATTTATTTTATTTTGTATTTAGAAATCATCCCACATTATTCATTAGTATAACCAAGAGACAAGCGGCGAAAGATCTGATCCGACAGCGAGTTAACACGAATCAACTGAATAATCATGTTATTTATTATGGATTTGCCGCCGCATATAAATTTATGTTACACATTGTATACACAAATTTGACAGCACCATGATCACTCACCGCGCATGAGCGCGGACAGGGATTCGCATCCTGAATTTTTTTGCGCGTTCGTAAACTCATAAAAAAAACGTGTCGCAACCTCAGTGCTCCTGACTGTACATGATAGATACAGGATATTTTTTTCACATTACGGACACTCCACGTATATACATAGAATATCCAATGTTTACTGGGTATTTGACACATAATTTTAATGTTATTGGCCTGAATTCACTCTATACTAGGTTTTATACATGTGACACTTTGCGTTTTAGTTGAAAATTGACTCATTGTTGGCACAATGCGAGAGCTTTCAAATGTTGTAAGCGCGCACTTATATATATTAATTTAATGCACTTGAGAAGGACTGGAATCGCAGTCGAAACGTAGTGCTTATTATTAATAAAAGTTGCCAGTTGGTCAAATAAAGGAAATTAGTTTATTATTATTCACTGGTGAAGAAAAAGGATTCATCTCAAAATTTAAACTTTATTCTATCGTACATTTCTGTTTCTGAATTTAGACTGACTGGCCTTCCTTTCTTTCCACTCCATTTTTATAGTTTCCACTTTCGGTCCTGTTGCCAGGCCGCTTGTTACTTATTGTTAGTTAGCAGTTGTTTCATTAGCAACTGCATACACGGTTTCGGTGGTTTTACTCTTTGCTCCGGATACTTGTGTTCTTGGCACGCGGCAAGTGTAATCCGACACCTTACCGCTTGCAATATCCCAAATAGCACCGTACATCTAATGGACGTCCGTTTTACGTTCATTTTACTACCATACGTGGACATAATAAAATCGTCCATTGTACATCCATACAAAGATACACAATGGATATGCTCAAACGGACGTCCAGTGGACATCCATTTAAGATTCCCTTTATATAACTAATTTATGGATATATACTCCCGAGTAGAAATGAAATCATGCACGTTTTATGTATGTTCAGGGCCCGATAGGGTGGAGTTAGGAATGCCCTAATAAGGAATCCCTAACATGTGCCTGATCCGGTACGCCTGATTCCCTGATAGAATGTGATAAACGTTAACCTGAATATATAGCACTAGTACTCACTGCCGCGGCGTGGCGACCACACGTTAGTCTTTCTCGTAAGTAAAAATCATTCCGTATTAGTATAAGAGGCGAGCCATCTGATGCGACAGCGAGTTATCTGGATCATGGATAATCTTCAATAACTTGAATGTACTTTTGAAGACTATGTAATTTAACACATTTTTAAAATTAGTTTAAAAAATTGAATTTTAACCCTACTATTATATATACCTACCCTACTTTCGACCTATTTTGGATTTATTTTGGATATCGTTTATACATCCAAGATAAGTCCAAAACAGGTTCGACAACTTACATATTTCAGATATTTTATGGATGTTCGAGGTTGTGTGTCAAACGTATGTGTT